CAATGTTTCTAACTCTCTATCCCTCTCCCTTCCTCTCTGTAAAAAATCAATAAAATATATATATATTTTTTAAAAAGCTATTTGTTCTTGCCCTAACCGGTTTGGCTCAGTGGATAGACTGTCGGCCTGCAGACTGAAGGGTCCCAGGTTTGATTTTGGTCAAGGGCATGTACCTTGGTTGTGGGCTTGATCCCCAGTAGGGGGCATGTAAGAGGCAGCTGATCAATGTTTCTAACTCTCTATTCCTCTCCTTTCCTCGCTGTAAAATTAATAAAAATATTTTTAAAAAATCCTATTCTTTATTTAATTGCTTTTGCACCTTTGTAAAAACAAAAAAGTCAATTGGGGGTATTTGTCTGGGTCTACTATCGTGTCCTCCATCCTGTTTCATAGATCTGTGTATTTATCCTTCTGCCAATACCCTGCCACTTTGACTGCTATAGCCTTTTAGTAAATCTTGGGTAAAGTCTTAAGTAAAATGGGAAAACTGATTCCTCCCACTTCTTTTTCAAAATTTGTTTTAGCTATTCTAGTTCCTTTGCCTTCCCGTATAACTTTTAGAATAATTTTGTCTGTATCTACAAAAATCTTTCCAGGATTTTCCCCTCACTAATTTCATTTTTTTTTTGGTATCACAATCATGTTTTATTTTGAGAAATGTCTTGATTTTGATGTTTGACAGAAATTTTGTGTTTCTTATTTTTTGTTAATCCTCAGTGAAGGATTCTTTTTCCTCTTCCTCCTCCTTCTCCTCTTCTTCTTCTTCTTCTTCTTCTTCTTCTTCTTCTTCTTCTTCTTCTTCGAGAGAGAGAGAGAGAGAGAGAGAGAAAGAGAAAGACCAATGTGAGAGAGACACATCAATTACTTGTCTCCTGTATGCACCCTGGCCAGGGCGGGGATTGAACCTATAACCTTGGCACATTGAGACAATGTATTTTATTTATTCTTGAAGGATATTTTTACTGGATATAGGAATCTGGAATGACAGTCTTTTCTTTCAGCACTTAAAAAATGTTTGTGCCACTTCTTCTGGTTTCCATGGTTTCTAACAAAAAATTTGCTGTCATTCAATATGTGTCATTTTTCACTGTTTTCAAGATTTTTTTTTCCTTCGTTTTTAGCTTTTAGCAGTTTGACAATGATGTGCCTTGGCATGAATTTGTTTGCATTTATCCTCTTTGGGGTTTGCTCATGTTCTTCAGTCTGTAGGTTTGTCCCTCTGCCAAATTTGGGGGAGTTTTCAGCCTTATTTTTTTTTTTATTAACAGCTTTATTGAAATATAATCCACATACCATAAAATCCACCTGAGTTTTGTCAAGTTGCATTCATTTGATCACCTATAGGCTTGGGTTTAATTCTACCACTTAACGCTCTATCTTCCATTCACCTCACTTATTCTTGGTTTTATTGTCTCTCCTGCCTTCCGGGTTGACATCATCCCACCTCATTCCATGTTTTCCTTCCTCTTAGTTTAGTATGCACTCTTTCTATCTTTTAGTGGTTACCTTAGATTTCTTAATGTGCACGTTAAC